ATTAAATTAATTCTTAAAAACTATTCGAGTCTTTTTTTTTTAATAATTCTGTCAATCATAAAAATCATGATAACAGATTTTAATTTCTTTTAACGAGATCGTAGTGTTACTTTCTTCTTTTTTCTATCAATATTTTCTATTTCGTCTTTAATTATTGTTTGTTTCCATTTTCTATTTCTTTTTTTGGAATGCCTGTGTCTATTATATTTTTCTTAAAAATATCAAAGAGATAATGAAATATTTAATAGACATACAACATACACGCACACACAGACGCACAGATTAATTTTCTAATAGACGATTAAAAAATGATCAAAACTATATATATATAGAATTAAACTATGACGAGATCAATTGTTGGAATGTATATTATAATATTAATCCTCTCTCTTACTTTTTTTTTTTGTTTTGTTTTGTTTTTTCTAATCTCAAGCTTTTCGTTTCTTAATCCTACGCACTCTCTCGTTCTTTAAAATATCCAAATCGATGATTTGTTGTCCCTTAATTATTGATTTATTTAGCCGCGGGTGGAAAGCGAAAATATGCATCGGAATTACGTGATTCCAAACTACGATGGGGTGGACAAGTATGGGAATAACAATCGAGTTCTTCTACGCTGCAACCAATGCACTTATTGCAACTACATATCAAACCGTCACCGCAAATTCCCCATGATTCGCTAGGACCTCCGCAAACCTCTCCAGGACCCTTTAAAAAAAAAAAAAAAAGCCAAAATTCATTTAATATTTTTATCATTTTATAAATACACGATAATCACTTATTTTGTTTTTTTTTTCTATTTGAACAATTAATAATATTTCTTCTTACGTTGAATTATCTTATTATATCTAGATTGTCTCTATCATTATTTTTTTTTCAAAATTTAACAAATTATTATTATAATTATAATATATAGAAAATATTGGTTTTTAATATTAAAATTATATATACAATTATTTATTATGTATTCGTCATATTATTTAACTGTAATAACTTGGTATAGTTATTTATCTAATATTATATATTATATTATATTATTTATATATTTAATAATATATACCAACCCTATTGCATACAGGAATACCACAAAGAGGCGATATCGTGAAACCATATTTACACTTATCGCATTGATATCCACAACCATCGCAAATTTGTCTAACGTCCTCGCGTTGTCCGATAAAAGGATGAGCAAAGCTGCACGATCTGTGTGTATAAGATATCATTTATTTTTAATTTATTTAAAAAAAAAAGAAAATGTTTCAAACGAATAGAGAAAAAAAAAAGTTCGAATTATTCATATACTTACAAAAATATGACAGAGAAGAGTAGTACGAGTATGTAAATTGATTGGCCCGACATGTCGTTTCTAATGGCTGAAAATAAAACAAAAACAAAAAAATGTATTATTTATCTAATAATAAAACGTGATTATTATTTATCGAAAAACATTTCTATTCAATAAACTTAAATTAAAAAAAAATTCTCCATATAAGATATGAAATTTATTTATATTCATATCATTTTTGTTACGTATTAAAAATAGATCACAAGTATATGAATAATAATCCACATACTTCTTTTTTTTTATATATATTACAATAAATCAATCAATGCATTATTATTATTTTTAATTAAACAACAGAGTTTCATCTTGTTCGGTTTGTATTATCATTGATTTAATGATGTAATTAACTCGGGAAAATAATTAAGAAAAATTGAATTAATAATATAATTGTAAGACTTTTCTCGTGTATAAAAAAAAAGAAATATGTATTAAAATAATCACCGAAAAAGAATATTTTTGTATTTCATTAACATATATATATATATCAAAGTTATCTCAAAGGTTACGATCGTGAATGTTACTTTAACCTCCCTGTACCTTTTTGTTTTAACACCGGCGACCACCCCCCACCCGGAATCAAAAATGGTTAATATCTTTTCTTCTCAACGACTTGGAAAAGTAAACAAAAACGAACGATAAGATAATGATTATTATTTTTGTTTTTTATTATTAATAAGAAAAACAAAAAAAGAATATATCCGTTATCGTTACTAATTAAAATATATACTTGGGACAGTCTGAATAATTGCTTAAGAAGATGCAACGTAAACGATAAGAGCACGTGCTCGTTTAGTGTTCGCAACACGTGTTAGCGTGAGTTTTAAATAAATGTTATTATAACTAAAAAAAAAAAATAAAAAGAAAGAAAGAAAAAGAAAAAAGATATCGTCGAGAATTATTTCGTTGTTTTGATGTTAAATATTTTCCACAAATTATTAATCGAAAGAACTTCGGATTATAAATTTATTATTATTATTATTCATTTTGTTTTTTATATTTTTATACTATCTATGAATTATATATTATATCACCGTATTATTTCTTATTTTTTTTTTTCTAATACACGATTTAAATTGGTCAATTGAAAAAATAACACGGTGAGAATAATAGTAATCTTTGTATTCAATGAAAATACGTTATTTTGTTCTAAATTGTCTAATTTAAAATAATGGATACGATGTGTTGATTTCTCTAATAGCATTTTGTAACATTGATCACAACAAAATGTGTTAATGTGGGTAAATTGGACTCACGTGAGAAAGAACATATGTACGAACTTTGTGTTCTTTGAACTATCGTACTATAAATACCATTATCGAAGAAAGAAATAATTATACTCAGACTCTGTATCGATTCATTGAACTCCGCTTTTCCTACGAGATTTTCTTTTTTTTTTTTCCCCACCCCCCTTACATATTTCTTTTTGTTTACATTTCCAATGTAAATTTCTCTCAAGGTTAATTCGAAGCAAGTTTAGTCAAAATATGTGAAAAAACATTTCAACGAATAATTTGAATTTCAACAAACGAATCTCACAATCGAATTAATTATAAATAATTATATTTCGTTATATATTATATAAAATCCAAAAATAACTTTTTCGAATTTTCTTTTTTTCTTCGACACTTTCGTAAAGTATTTTTATTTACGCGATGAATAAAACTTTAAAATAGCAACGTGACACATATATTACACTGTTAAACAATTACCAAATAATTTGTTTTTTAATTGTCTTTCACAGTTATTAAACACACACGAACATACACACACAATACTGTCAAATAAGTTGCATCTTTTTTACCACCTCTCTGAAATGAAACACCACACGATTTATGTTTTCTTATTTCCAAACGGGTCACCCATTCATGTTATCATCAACCGTATCCAATCATTGCTTGATTTTAACAATCAGCCGGAAATTAATAATAATCACACAACAAACGTAATTAAAAATTATTCTTTAATATTAAAAACAACCCTTATATATATATATACACAATTCCTACAACTAGTAGGATTCTAACGTAGATATTATCAAACGTTAATTATTTAAAAAAAATATTTAATAACGAACGAACGTATCAATCTAAACATTTATAATGTGATCATTGTAAGAAGAAAATATTAAAGGATTAAAATTAAAAAAAATGAACATTTAATTATAATATATAACGATATTACTCTCTTGTGAAATTAAAAATAATTATTACCGAAAAAATAAATACTGTCTCATTGAGTGATACAGCGAGATGTTCGATCTAATATTCTTTCTTTCTTCTTATTGTTAAATCTTGATTTTGCCGGAGATAATCCAAATAAAAACTTTTTCGAAAAACGGTCCATCGAGATGAACGTCAATGTCTCAAAAAACACCACCGTTTTTCGACGCATGTATGCGTAAATTCTTATTCTTATGTAATTTATTAAATATCAAACGTATTTCTTTTATTTTAACGCGACAGAAAAATATAAACAACAACAACAACAAAATAATAAAGAACAAGAAAAAATTAGACAAAAAGAAAAATCTAAATCAGGATTATTTTTTTTTTTTTTTAGATGTTTCCTCCCTCTTTTCTGTTAGGACAAAAATAAAAACGTAATATAATCAAAAAAAAAAAAAAAAAAAAAAAAAAAAAAAAAAAGAAAAAAAACAGAAAAAAAATCAATAATAATACAAATTAGAAATAGAATAATTAATTTGAAAATATATCGCGGTTCGATCAGACTCGTCTTCGCGAATTTACGGTGCGATAGACAAAACAGTTGTCTCACATAGGGAAAGAAGACATAAACGCAGTCATGTTAAAATCCCCTCCCCATATACTTTTCGATCATTCGTCGGGCATCCGATTAAAAAGAGAGCCACACACATGTCAGTACAAAAATTTTCATTTCTTTTTCTTTTTAATACTTTGTTTTTCTCTCGTTTGTATTCCCCATTCCTCCCACGAACCCCACCCGAATCCCCTACACCCACCCCACCCCACCTCCCCCAACCCCCGTCTTACTCCTCATCATCTTCATGAGGGCAAAGACTAGTTCTTCGCGAGAATGAGATTTATTGATATCCAGAAACAGAAAGAAAAGCCACTGGACTCTTCTTCCACCCACTCTCTGTTTCCTCAACCCCCGCCCCACCCCACCCCACCCCACCCCCTTTTTTTTATTACTTTATCATACTGACTGTCTGACTGTGTTTCGTCTTATTCTTATTCTTCTTGTTTGATTGTCACAAGAAGCTTTTAAAATTCTTCCTATTCTCGGTTATCACGCGTCTTGCATCCCCCTCCTCCTACTCCTACTCCTACTCCACCCCCTCCACCTTCTCTTTTCTTCGGCGATCATGTTAATCGCAATTCCGGGAGATGCACAGGAGTACGAGAATAATCTAACCCGTCGACGCCAGTAGACACGAACATATTTTATTCTCTTTTGAATTTAACTTAACTCTTTTTACTCGACCTCAATGATAGTGAATGAGAAAGAATGAGAGAGAGAGAGGGAGAGAGAGAGAGAGAGAGAGAATGTTTCTACGAAATCATTTGACTCTTTTCTAATGAGACCAATGTTCTATAATTTCCTATATATATGATTGAAATTAGAAAATGTCAAAATTCACATGGTTGTTTGTTAACTTATATCAAATACGTCAATAAAAAAACGACGGACAGTTATCAAAGAAAATTTGATTAGGATCATTAGAAAAGATATACAAAATGATCTCATCGTATCTTGATTAAATATAATTTATATAATAGTTTTATATCAGAAAATAATTAAGAGAATACAAAAATTATAAAAGAAGAAGGAAAATTCGCACGAGAAATGAAATTATTTTAATTTTTATTAATTAAAATTTATTTTTAAAATTTGTTATTTAATTAAAGAGAAATATGTTATAATAATAATAATAATAATAATAATAATAATATATATGAGTTTCAAAAGGAAAATTGAAGACAGTTAATAAATTTTGATGAACAAATTTATTTGATATTGTTGAACGTTTCGTCCCTTACTGGGGACTTCCTCAGCAACTACAACATTTTTTTTTTAATTATTTTATAATTATGACTTGTTAAAAAGATATATAAACATTACAATAAATAAATAAATAACAAAATAAATAAACTTTAAATTTTTTACCTCGATCACTTAGTTCACGCGTCAATACATATTATTTTAGAGTCGTACATTATAATAAATGAATTAATCCTAAACAAACTTTTTAACCAAAATTTTGTAGTTGCTGAGGAAGTCCCCAGTAAGGAACGAAACGTTCAACAAGATCAAATAAATTTGTTCATCAAAATTTATTAACTGTCTTCAATTTTCTCTTTAGAAACTCATATATATTAATATACTGTTCGGACAAGAATATTGATTATTAAATAATAATAATTGTAAAATTGCGTGTATTTAGCTAAGAGAAGAAAAGAGAAGAGTAATATAGTAAAACTTAAAAAGAAAGAACGACGAACTAACGTTGTTATTCTGAATGATCACAATTCTAAGATCATGATCGGAGTCATACGTGTTTGATGGCGAATAGCCATCGTTGAAATAATATGTGCGCGAAATTCGTATAATAAACTAACAATAAGAGGAAAAGTGAGTCCAACCGATGAGATGAATGGAAAGAAGTTTAGAGTTAGAAGAGATCAACACCATGCACGCGTAGGTGTTGCACCGGATTCGGCTGATTCGTTCAGACGTAAACAAATTTTAAACGAATCCCTTCCCACCCCCACCCCCGATGAGAAATCACGAGGAAGGTGTGGGGGGAAACTAACGTAAGGTGCATACCACCAATCGTCAGGTTAGGTTAACATATATAAGGCGTATTTCTAATAATAACTATGAAAATTTGCGTTTCTCTTCTCTGGCTATGCCAAATTTTCTTTAAACTTACCCCCAACTCCTATCCCGAACCATCCAACCCCCACCACCACCACCACTACCACCAACAACAACATCAGACTCGTTTCCGAGTAACGTTAAACCCCCCACCCCTTTTCTACGAGAATTATTCTCTTTTTACACTGCCACAACTAACGTGATGAAGATTCGCATATGTGTACATATATATATATATATATTTCTTTATTTCGTAGCAGTTTCTTCTCTACCTTACATCGAAAGAAGAATCTCATTGTCAGTAACAAATCGTTCGTTCGTCTTTTAACACGCGATTTTTTTTGTTCTCCCTAAACTTTATTAAAAAACACAATTCACAAATTTGTTTTCGTACTTTGTATAATTAATAATAGATAATAATTGTGTTCGCGAATTGTTTTGCCGTTTTTTTTTTCTTTTTTTTTCTATTTCTAAATAAGTATAGACGAATTATTTTCTATATATTATATTGAATTTTTGAATCGATATTATCGTTGAATATTTTTTATTAAATAGAAGAAGGGGTGGCCACTTAAGTGTGGTGATAATTTATTAATTGTTGTTCTCGTCGAAAAACACTCTTCTCTTTGGTTTATATATTAGGTGAGTTTTACTTTTTATTCAATTTTATATTAATAATGACAAAACACACACGAATATTTAAATATATTGTTTCATAGAGAAATTATATCGTTATTGAAAATCAATTATAATTATGTATCGTGTGTTAAATTCATTTGTATATATTTAAAAACGAATGTTTATTTCAAATGATATTGCAAAATAATATCACAAATGTAAGGTAAATAAATGAAATGAAATCTTTTGAAGAATTATACGGTTTCGTTTAACACGTTATTTTAAACATGCACATCTTTGTTTAAAATGCATTCAAATGATCCGCGAATTTTCGATGCAAACGGTTCATCCGAATTCAGGGCCCCAAAAATCTTTACGTTAACTATTCATCATTTCGCATTTATACGCGCTTATTGATTAACATTTTCATTAATATTATTAATCAATATCTGTTATTAAAAAAAAAAAAGAAAAAAATTAAACAAATCGTATGCCAAAAAAAAAAGGGAAAAGAAAACAAACAAAAAATGCGTGAATAAACGAAAGTAAATCGTAACTTGATTCATCTTTTTCAACAACATTTCTATGACTTTCTCTGATAAATTTATTTCTTTTCTTAAAATTCGACGATGATGCATCATCATCATCATCATACTCATACTCATCATCATGAGGAGACCTAACGTTTGGCAACGTTTTTCCATTTTATTAGACACAATTAAATATCCGTTATAATTCTATTCGCGTAATGTTTCAAATTCGGGTCATACGCCTAATAAGATATCGTTTTACAAGAATCATTCTCTATCTGGCTGATTTCGGAAATAAACTAACAGTTGCATAGTGTCAAAATCGTAAACATCAAATCGTAATGCACATTAACAGCGCATTTAAACCTTTGCCAATTCAAAAACTATTTAAATGCCAACAATATTTTTCGATCGTATCGTTGTATATTAAAACTCTGGAGATATGTACAAAATTCATTAAATCCAATGAAATGAGATTTTATATATATATATATATTTTTTTCATATAACTTATATTTAATATATATCTTTGATGTTTATTGTTTACTCGATGAAAATTATACTAAAATAATCAATATCATCTGATGAGAATACGTTTGAATACGATTTCAAACAGATGACGCAAATTCTTCTTATTTCTAACTTATCCATCTATATCTTTTCGCGAATCAACAAATTATAAATATTTTTCATATCTTGAGATACATATCTCCGCTTTCGATAAATTTTATTAATAATAACATTTTCTCTCTCTCTCTCTCTCTCTCTCTCTCTTTTTCTTTATCTATCTATCTATCTATCTATTTACCTTTATCTCAAAGAAAGATATATAAAGAAAAAATAAAATGATTTTTCCGATAAAAGAAAAAAAAGAATCATTCCAAACGATTTCTTTTTCTCTTGCAATGTGTTTATTTTTAAAAAGTTACTATATATCCACCAACCACGAGTGCTGTTTAAATATTACTAACAGATTCACGTTTACGACAGTAAGAGTATCAACAAGGAATATATAGATTCTTTTTCTTTTCTTTTCTCTTCTTCCCTCTCCTCCCCCCCCCCCACCTCCCCGCTTCGGTAAAGAATTTTGCATTAAAGAGATAAATAACATAAATAAATGCCTGAATATATAAACTCGACTGAAAAAAAAATAAAGGGATACTAAGAAACAATTTTTGTTTGTTTGTTTTTTTTTTGTCTTCTTTTTTCCTACGAAACGAAGAAACGAAAAAAAGATTTGATTCGACCGATAAAAATCGAGAGAAAGTTTTACAATCTTTTTCGATATATATATATATATGTTTTTAGTTAGCTTACGTAGGAAAATACGTACACGGATCGAGAGAAGAACTTTAGGGTTCTCGGTTGAAAATAGTATGCGAGGCTGAATATAGAAGTGAAAGAGAAGATAGACGTATCTAAAATGCGATCTTGCCAAATGTTCATTGCGTTCGAAAACGTTAACACTAAAGCGAATTCGATTTAATGTATCGATTTGTTTTACGAAAAAAATTAAAAAAGCAGAGAAACAAAATCTTTCATTCAAAGTATATTCGAATTAATAATATTCAACTATAGATTAGACTTTTATACAAACGTTTTATTGTTTTTCCTTCTTCTCTCTCTCTCTCTTTTTAAATAAACACTATCAAAGTATTTATTAAATATATATATATATATATTTTTTTTTCCCAAATCTTAAATATGTTTTCAAGTAAGAGAAAAGATCAGATAAATTGAGATTTTCGTGTGATTAATTTGTGTGTCTTGTTTCATTTCCTTTTTTTTTTTTAGGAAGACGATATGGGTATGATAACACGGGTGAGGGGTCGTGTTAGAGCGAATTCTTTAACTGTGGACAAAGAAAAAACTGCACAAAGCGTTTGCCTTTTGAGTGCAGTTCTTTTGCTACCATATTGTCCTCGTGGTCCATTACCACTTTTACCCTCACCGGCGCCAGCATTGTATTCTGCTTTGGTTTTACCTGTGGTATTCAGCGCCAATTACAGATACCCTGTTTATACCTTAAAGGCTCTCGTAGAAGCAACAGCAGGTAAACAAAAAAAACTAAAGAAACATGAAAAGAAAAGAATCTCAAAAGAAATTCTTTCCGTCTAACCCCCATTTTTTTTTCTTTTCTTTTCCTTTTTCTTATTTCTTTCCGAAATAACTTTCATTAAAACTTCGAATCCAAATGTTTCTAATAAAAACTCGACAATAATTATTCTTTCCTCTTTTTGGATGATTATATATATATATATATATATTACGTGTATATTATAAATTTTTAATAATATTCTCTATTAATTATTTATTATTTATTGTGTGTCGTATGTTGTATAATGAACGAAACGAAACGAAACGAAAGAAAAATCCAAATCGCGACGAAAAGAGAACAGATTACGTATCATTTTATTAATCGGTCTACACAGTGTGTAATTCAATTCTGTTTTGTAAAATATAACTACTTGTAGTATATATCAAGGCAAATGATATCCATTAACTCTCGTCGATATCAAAACATTCAATGGAAGATTAAAGTTATAGATTTACGAATAATCATTTCAATATACATATATTTTATTATGCAATCGTACCATATTATCGACATAATGATCCACTGATATTTCTAATAGTATACGCTTTTATAAAAATTGAATTAAAAGATAAACCGATTAGTAAAAAATATTACAACATAAAAAAAAGCTTATACACGCGCGCACACACAAAAAAAAAAAAATAGAAAAAATATAATCTTCCATATTGGAAGAGTAAAAAAACAATATTTCAACAAATATTTCTATTAACAAATAGACACGATCTATTTATAATCTAATCGAAATAGATAAATGAATGAACAGAATAGTCATCCTATTTCTCTTTCTCTCTCTCTCTTGTTAACTCTTTGAGGTATGACGGTATTAAAAGTGTCCCACCTTTTTGATACGTAAATGTAGATTATTCTAGTCCCCCAAAAGAAAAATAAACACTTAATTAAATTATTATTTCATTATATTTTTATAATACATTATTCCTTTATATAAAAAAAAAGTAAACCAAGGAATTTCGATGGAATTTAAAATAAAAATCAAATAAAAAGGTATCATAGGGAATTTGGACATCAAAAAAAGAATTAGAACTTAATTTTATTAAATATTTATCAAAATTAAGTTCTAATTCTTTTTTTGATGTCCAAATTCCTTATGATACCTTCTCATTAAGAATTTTATTTTTGGACGAGAGAAACAATTAATTGTATAAATCAAATATTTCTATATCACATGGGTGGGGTTGGTGGTTGGTGGTGTTATCTAAAATTCCGTACCTCAAAGGGTTAATATATTTAGGATCATACCTTTGTATTAGTTTCGCGTTTGATTTTTCTAAGACGATGGTCCGGTTCTTTCCTGATTATAGAAGGTAAGTCACCACTATGACGGAAGAACGTAATGTGTCCAGTGTCGACCAGGACGGGTTGTTTTATAGGTAGAGATTCGTCCGCCTGGTCGAACGCACGAATCCCGAAGGATAATCTTGGTTGCCATGTGAAACGTTCGACGCCAAGGCGACATCATCCCCCTCCGACCTCTTTATCCACACCTGCCAGTCCTCAGTGTCTGTCTGTCTCGTCTTTTTCGTTGATGATGTCCTCTTTCCCTCTCTCTTTCTCTCTCTTTTTCTCCTGACTGACATCCATTAATATGCAAATTTGTATTACATCGGGTATTGCGTAAAAAAAAAAAAAGAAAAATTCAAAATGATCGACGGCAACATCGATTACGTTATCCTCAATTAACGGATATGATTGGACCCTAGTTGACGCCTAGTCATCAATGAAAAAATAAAACATTGTAAATCTCTTAAAATTATCTAACACTTATAGATGTTAGTTATATCTTTTAAGATTGCTCCCTTATTATTAGCAAAACGTACAAGATAGATACTTGTACGAGAATCATGTATCTTTTCATCATCACTTTCTTCCTTTCCCTACCCCTTTTCATCGTAAAATCTTAAAGGACGAGGGATAGAAAAAGAAAAAGAGAGAAAGAGAAAAATATAATGACGATGGTTCAATAGGGTGTGATCATTTTTATTCGATACAAAATTAATCCCACTTCTCTTTTTCGTTCAGTTCCGATTTTATATTTTATAGGGATCTTATTATATAGAATTTTAATTTATTGTTATATGTATGTAATAATATTCTTTTTATATATATATATATCTATCTCTTGTAACATATACTACCACCTTACTTTTTTTCGCGAGTTAGAGCGTAATCCTGTTTTCATTTAAATTTAATCATTTTTATTTACAATTTACGCGGTTCCGTCATGCTAATAAAATATGATTATGTTACTGTTTTGCTATATTATTCTATGTTATAATATGTGTCGGTAATTATAATGGATTAAACAAAAGAAAAATTATCCAAAAATTTATTTTAAATTAAAAACTTATTTATATATTACAAATATAAATAAAAAAAAATAAATTGTAAAATATACATTTTCTTTTTATTTATTCCACTTTGTCATAATTATCGGCGCATATACATATATATCTTAATTGAAATAATTATACATTTTATAGGTGGATTATCGAAAGCATGGAAACCCTTATATCGTTTCTTAAAACGTTTATATGGACCCGTAGATCGTGCGGAAAATCTTTTTCTAAGGATGAAAAATATCTCAGTGATGGCTAATCAAATAGTATTTTTAATGCTCGCGGATAAAGTATTGGTACCTAAAGAAAGAATGACATGTCTTTACACACTTATGTTTTATAATGTTATCGCGTATTGCGTGAGCTATATAAAGGAACTGATAGAAAAAGAAGACTGGACACCCTACGTTACTTTAACGGAAAGATCGCAAATCAAACATCTTGCTATGTCGGCCACAAAGATTGTCTTAGAGTGGACCAAGGCCGTTACATTCGTCGTTACTCTGACCTTCATGCTCCTCGTATTCGGTTTGGAACAAGGACTTGAACATTACAAGTAAGTCTTCCAATCATTTTTTTATTCTTTGCAATAAATGAACGCTACAATGTATTACCTTGATTTTCAAAAGGAAAACATCTCCTCTGCTGACGCAGATTTTTCGAATATTTCAGGATGGATAGATAATATGTGTCGAATAATCATAAATCAAAATATGATTTTCATATTATAAGATTATATTTATTAGAACATTGTAATATTCTTATTATTTAATTTTTAAACGCCAAAAATATATATCACTTATATATGTATTCTCTAATTCGTATATCTTCTAAAGATATCGTACGTTTTTTATTAGAGTCTTAAATTTAAGGGACATTTATCTATAATTATTCCTCCACGAAATATAAGGGACTTTATTAAGATTGAAAATGATTTTAATATAGCGCGTTTAAAGATTAAATCAAAATTCTTATATATAAATATGACAATTAATTTATATATTTTATATTATTATACAGGCCCTCAACCCTGTATACCGTATTAACTTGGATCTACTATTCAGCAACGGAAAAGGTTTTCGTGGATATGTTTCCAACTATTCTAGGATATCTACAACTAGAAGCATTGGAGAATATCGAGAATCTTTATGCTCCTGTGATATTAAGATACTTTACTATTGGGATGTCAGCTTTCTTCAGTCTAATACTCTTACCAACTGCACCATGGAGATTCCTCTTTGTTGCAACATATCTAAACATTTACCTAAGATGGAAGGAACTTATGCAAAATTCAGGAGCGGCGTTGAAACGCGAACGAGAGATATTAAATCGATATAGAAAAGCTACCGCGGATGAGATCGATAGGTTCGATGATGTCTGCTCTGTTTGCCTTTATACCATGACAAAAGCTAGAGTGACACCCTGCCATCATCTTTTCCATGCGGATTGCCTCAGGCAATGCTTAAAGACTAGCGACAGCTGTCCCATGTGCAAGCGAGAACTTAAATTTGACTGAAATATTACGTGGCAGGCATGCGCGCTTTATAATGAGAAAACGAGGAAAAAAAAAAAATTATATACATACATATATATATATATACACGTTCGTTCCTTTTTATTTTTACTACTTTTTAATACTCTATCGCGTTAGGTTTCGTTCAGAGAATAATTCTTTCTGTATTTACGTTCAATCAACATTTACAATAAAGAAATCGAATCGTCGTTTTAATTAGTACACATGGTATATTTCCAATGGAAATTCTAAAAATCATTTTTTTCCCCAATATCCATATCACGGTGTGTATCATTTTATTGCATTACTTATATTCCATCATATGTTTGTGAAAGAAAATTTGTTAAGACCCTTTTATTTATACAAATCAGAATTTCAGTTTAAAACTTGGATATATATATATATATTAGATGCTAAAATTAACTCTTGTTGTTTATTTCGTCTTAAAAAGTTATCTATCTTGAAGGAAAGATGAATGAATATTAATCAAAATAATTTCTTCCATATTCTACTATTTTTTTCAATCTCTCCAGTAATAAGGTAATCCCACAACGATAGAATACAATGTCTTTCGAAATAATTCATTCATCCACTCAATGACAGGATTTAAGTTTACCATCTAATATAACTTAAAACAAAAGATAATGTTACACATTTTATATCGACAAGACATCCTAAATAACGATCGTTATATCGAAGAACGAATGTTTCTCTAAAGATACACTATTCTGTGATACATAAAAAAGGATATGACAAACACCTTTTCTCTGAATAAATGTTAATAAAGAAATCACACTATGTCTTTTATATAAATATATATATACATATATATATATATATCTATAATCTAGTATTATGATTATAAAAACTAACAATCATTGCTAATATTTTATATATATCAATGATATTAATTTATACCTTATCTATACAGATATTTGAATTAAAATTTCATTTATAATTTTGCTACGTTTCACCAGGATATTTAAATGTTACATCTTTATATTCCCCATCTGGACTATCATAATTTTTTATCGGTGGTGTATGACAAGGTCCTCGATTTAAATATGGTAAAAAGGTAAGATCAATCTAAAGTAATAAAAATGCATACTTGTAATTTAAAAACATGACCGATATGATTTAATGCAATAAGTTAAAAGTATACCTGTATCGCTTCATTGTATAATTCTTCTGATTCAGCTTTTAACTCTTGTAGCGCTTTGTTCTGAGATGAAATGAATCTATCAATTGTCTGAATATCATCTAAGTACTGTCTATGTTTATATCTGGCCCATTCTTTTTGTAACAAAATTCTTCTATCTTCTTCCTCTTCGGATAAAGGTACAAGCTTTCTTGTCCTTTCCCTATGTAAGAAAAATATTAAAATTAACAATATATATCTACATATACAATGAATTGACAATAATCAATGAATTTTTGATGTTACTCTTTCTCAGTTTTTAAATATAATGGTATCTGCAATTCACCGATAGGCTTTAATTGTTTAGAATGTTTTTCTAAACGACGAATAAACTTTTCTAACTTCTTTTTCTTTCTTTCTTCTCTTTCTCTAATTATAGCCGGATCTATCTTCTTCTTTTTTTTCAATGGTTCCGCACTGCGTATAAAAGATAATTAATCATTTAGAATTCAATAACTTATTTCCTATTAGACACAACAATATAGATTATATTTAAATAACATTATGAAAATACATACAGGAGAGTATTGGTTATACCAAATTGTAACGGATAACCATAAGTATATATGTTACGCATACAAGTGATGGTATATTTTGGCAATCTGAAAAAGTAAATTTATATAATAAATAGTCTATTGATACATTATCAGTATGATGCTTTATATAATTTCAATCATATTCTAAATACTAATACAATTATATTAAATATAAAACTAACCTCATTTTTTTTAATATGAAATATATATTTGAATATTATAACTAATTCTTTTAACATAGTTTAATTAAAAGATTAAATTATAAAACTATATAAATACCTTGAAAATATAGGTGAAACATTAATAAAACCCATAGTTTTGTCTATTCTGAATCACACAAAAACACACAAAAGCGTTGGATGCACTATCACGTTTAATACAAGTGAATATTTTATTTACTATATCTAATAGATTGAAATAGATAATGGTTATCCAGCTTTTCTTGTATCTAAAAAACTCTTAACATAATCTTAAAGATAATATATTATTTAAACATTTTCATTTAAAAGATGTACAATAAATTTGTAAAGACATATTTACACATTGTGTATGACAAGAAACCTAACCTACTAACGATTTGATTGAAACACCACTATTAGTGATAACATGAACTAAAGATTCATATAGAACTCATATAATATCAGATATTATAATTAATGTAATCAAGACCAAAAAATACAGAAGTACTTAAAAGCTCACAAAGAATACAGTATTCTTTGATAGTATTATAACCTCATCGCGTACCTATTCTTGCCCACTGGTGGTCAGGGTACTATCTAAGATAATTTTTGTTACGCGAAAAGTGGACTTGTGAGCTGCTATTTACTTCTTTTTTTTTCCTTGTACCGTCATGTTTTCGGTCTTTTTTATGCTTTTAATTTTTTTAAATATACGGTTGTGTAGATTTTAAAAATGTTTTAGATTTGTAAAGAAGTTTAGAATTTTCGTAGATAGTGTCGATAATCTAGAGCACAAGTGTCATAAGCTTAAAATCCTCTTATGTAATTCGCTACATAATTCATGGATATATTTCTATTCTTACAATATCGAAAAAGTTCCTAGCAAATGTCTCTAGTTTAAATTGATTGGAATTATTTATTGTTACTGATAGTATAACATCCTTAAAAGATTTTTCGTCATTGGTCTGTTCAGTGGTTGAAAGTTTGTCTCTATTGGATAGACATTTAACCCTAGATTTGTCGATGCTAAAAATAAGATCTTTTGAACTTGTATAAATATTGTAATATTGTGTTATTATATTTTTTAAAAAGGCAGGTATTTATTTTGGATTTGTAATATGTAATGATAATCTATAAGAAATTATTTCACGTTTATTACCAAATGAAAAAATATTCTAGTAATTGTTACTCTTGACCAATCAAGAATTATTATTAGTTCAGTAGAAGGGATGAAATCTAATAGACGTCTTTTCTGACAACACTGATCACGATCGCTATTACTGTTTGATCATATAGTTTATGGTTCATAGTCAATTTGTTCAGTGCGTCCGTCGTGTATTTTTGTAATAATATGATATGAGAATCTTATTTTAATTTGTATTGAAGAATTCGTGCTAAACGTGTATACATTTATGAAATCAAATAAGGTGTCGAGGAAAACTTTATACTTATTTCTTTTCTAAAGGTTACACGAGAACATAAGTGATTTAACAGTGAAAATGACATGAATTCATGCTGTGCGCGTTTCGATATAAAGGTGGGAGGGGGAGGAAGAGAGATGTGTCGGTGGATGAATTACTACAATTTGCTTAATAGCTAATAGACTCAAAATTACTGGTATGCTTTTACGATCCATTCACGATGTCCGCATATGTGACGATACTGCCATACCTTTTCCTAGGATTATTAGGTAATTGACCATTGTATCATTTCAGTCTAACACTTGTAGTTATTATTTTAATTGATATTTTAACATAATATGTTCAAAGGATTCTGTTGATTTCATTATTATGTTAGTAAAAGGAATTGTTTATGTATCGATGAGTATGTGTGATGTATTACTTCCCATCAAGTTTCATACTTGATATATAAATGCAAACAATTATTATTTTAGTTATATTCTTCTGTGATAACAAGTATTTAAATTAACTTAGATTTAACATCAACATATACATTATAAAATATCAGTTATTATTAAACTTTGTCATAACATTTGATTATTGTTCGTCGTTTATCTTATGTACGCGCGTACAGATTAATCAGTTAAATCTTAAATGTGAAACTTTGAACAATATTAGTTATATATATGAAAAAAACATACTGTAAGATTATGCATGTTAACATTGCAATAATGTTTTCTTTATATAAGAGTTCGTAAAGATATATATAATCAATACGTAAACATTTTTATATACAAATATCTTTTCTAAAGTGACATATTTATTATAGGTGTTGCTTTAGGACATGATGTTAAGGGTTCTAAATTTTGTGAATTTTACAATGAAACTATGTGCACGGAAAGTCAACAAGGATGTTCAGGAAAGGAGGAATGTGGCCCGCATGACCCTGATAAGCGTAATCATTGCTATGTGCTATGGCATATTGACAGTGAAACCAAAAAGACTATAATTAAATTGAAGGTTTGCTTTGCACAAACTATTCTTTTTCATATGTATCTTATTTTTTAAATATTTGTCTTTAATATTTTGTTTTCATTTAAAATGCAAAATTATATTCTCTATTATTATAGGGTTGTTTCTTAGATAGTAAAGAATGTTACGACAAGCCAAAATGCGTTGAAAAAAATGCAGATAGGCAAAAGAAATTGTTTTTCTGTTGTTGCGATGGTAATATGTGCAACCAAAATTTTACGTGGGATCCGCAACCTACTCAACCTCCCCCCATTGTTCACGGTAATGAGTTTGTGAAAAGAAAAAAGAATATATCAATTACAATTTTATTTTATATTTGAAAGTAAATATGAAAGTATCTAATAATGAAATATTTTCAGAATACGAACCTGTTCCAAATACTGAACAACAAATAATAACACTTGCTTTATCCATATCAATTCCTATGCTCTTTCTTATAATAATTATATCCATTTTATATTGGTGCTATCGTCGTAAAAAATTGGGATACTTCAATGAGGTTCGTATAAAAATAGAATAATAGTTTAGTTTATATAAATATAGATCTAAATAATATATGCATATATATATATTTCATTTATTTTATATACAAATTGATTATTTAAGTAACGAAATAATGATTAATAAATATAGCAATTTCGTTGATTATTAGGTGCCAACGTTAGAACCATTACCTTTACCCCAGCCGTCTCCTAATTTAGGATTACGCCCAATTCAACTCCTTGAGATAAAAGCTCGAGGAAGATTTGGAGCTGTTTGGAAAGCACAATTGAAAAATGAAATTGTTGCTGTAAAAGTTTTTCCCATGCAAGATAAGCAATCTTGGCAAACGGAACAAGAGATATTTAGACTTGCGCATATGGATCATGAGGACATATTGCGTTTTATAGGTGTTGAAAAAAGAGGTGATAATTTGCAAGCTGAGTTTTGGTTAATAACTGCATACCACGAGAAAGGTTCTTTATGCGACTATCTTAAAGCTAATGTTGTAACATGGCCTGAAATGTGCAGAATTGCAGAATCAATGGCACGGTAATTATTATTTATTAATAATCATTACCTTTAATTATTTTATACACTATCTATTTATATATATATATACACTGAATAGGGGATTGATGCATCTGCACGAGGAGATACCAGCTAATAAAGTCGATGGTTATAAACCAGCTGTTGCTCACAGAGACTTCAAGTCCAAAAATGTGCTTCTTAAAGCAGATATGAATGCGTGTATTGCCGATTTTGGCTTAGCATTAATATTCCACCCTGGAAAGCCTTGCGGTGACACACATGGGCAGGTAAAAAGCAAACATACAATTGTTTACTTTTTAATATGTACTAAAATATATACTTTTTTTTATTATTAATTATTGTTATGTCCAACATAGGTTGGAACAAGAAGGTATATGGCTCCTGAGGTTTTAGAGGGGGCAATCAATTTTACCAGGGATTCATTTTTGCGAATCGATATGTATGCATGTGGGCTCGTACTATGGGAATTAGCTTCACGATGTACTGTGCAAGATGTAAGATTAATTTAAAGAAAGAGAAAGAGAAAGAGATGGTATATACAAAAGTTTAATAATAAATATATAATTTATGGTTTCTATACAGGGACCAATTGGAGAATATAGATTACCATTTGAAGATGAAGTTGGTCTTCATCCTACATTAGAAGACATGCAAGAAAGTGTGGTACATAAAAAAGAAAGGCCACTTATTTTAGAAACATGGCGTAAACATCCGGTGAATTGATTTAAATTTATTTATATATATATATATTTTGTCTTATATCTATTATCATTATCTTAAATACCTTTTGTCTTCATAGGGACTTCTATCAATTTGTGATACAATGGAGGAATGTTGGGATCATGATGCCGAGGCACGTCTCTCGGCTTCTTGTGTAATGGAGCGAGTGGCTACATTGAGTAGGACACTTGTTTTAAATTCATCTACATTAATTCGCGTTGATAATACCAACGAGTCTATCAGCACTAAGGAGTCTAGTATGTAGTTAGTATATATGTATTATAGTTTTAGTTAAATTGCACAACCATTTCCTGTATCATAATTTTTTCATGTACATATGTGGGAAATGCCAGAACATCAAATGCATGAGCATTTTTTAATCATCAGAATTTATGGATTATATTATTTTTTTATCTACTAATATATTTCTAACATTTTAAAAACTAGAATATAGACATTTAGATCATAATTTATAATTTATATTACATTAAGATTTGTTGATAAAAAAAAGAAAAATTTATACAAATTAACAGCTTTCAAACAGTTAATATTTTTGGGTTTTTTTTTTTTTTTGGTATGAGTTTTTATTTTATTTGACTGTGTAGACATGATATGGTATATTTTTTGTTTTTTTTTTATTATTATTATTATTATTATCATTATATTATGATTATTTTTTTATTTCTAATTTTTTTGTTTTTCATTGCATGCAGCTTGGTTATATATTTGACTTTTCATTGTAAAACGTATGGAAAATGATTCTTTTTTCTGTTTGTACAATAGATGTATTGTTTTACTCAAAATAATTATATATTTAACAGTATTTTCAGCATACATTTTACATTAAAATCTGTGAAATACATGAAATAGCAAAACCGTTGGTTGCTTGTACATATAGAAGAGTGATACATACATTGAAACAAATGCACAGTTGTACCTGTATAATGAAACATTGTGTTTATTCTGTAATCTTATTTATATCTATTTTATCAAACAAGATTTTCTTTTTTTTTTTGTTTAAAAACATCTTAATAAAAATATATCAGAGTAATTTTTGGTAAAATTTCTACAATAAGTTATTTGTTTAAATAAAACCTTTTCTATTTATTTTTAAAAGTCAATGAACTTTTGAAAATATCTTCAGAAAATATACAAGTTTGAAGATTGATATGTATGTAATTGTTGACTCTGATATGTTTATATATATATANATATATAATAGTAACGTTGATGAATTTAAACGTCAAATATTCCATTAATTTAAATCGAATGTTCGATATAAAACAATGTTTAGAAGAATATTATAAATAGATATATTTGTTAAGCCAGATTTTATGTTTGATATAAAAATTACATCAGTACAGGTGCAACAGAACTGCATTGTGTATTAAGTTTGATGATAAATTCAAGTATAAGAGTTTAATTATGTAGTATATTATATGTCATTATATTTGGAACAGAAATGAAGATGACTGATCAAATGCATGACCATATAATATATCCATTATAAAATATGAATACCATGAGATCAAATTTTTATATGTTTTAAATTGACAAAAGTTATTTTGATATTTGTGGACTTATCCATTTGAATTTAACGTTTTCAAGCATTACAATCAAGTATTTCTGAATGCAAACCAAAATTTAAACAAAATCGTATTTGTTACAATGTGTATTATGATACGCTTGACTATACTCATTGCTGTAGATATAATATTAATACTCTATGAGAAATTTGGAGAAGAAAAATATTTGAAATTATGGATTTATTTAAAAAATCTGTATAAATAAAGATATGCAGAAACGTAATAAAAAAAATAGATCTTTAGTTTAAATTTTTTCTCTGGATTCTTTTCTCTACGAGAAAAAGAACTATATCATATATGAAAACAACGCAATTAGATGTTTACTATTTAAATTATATTATATCTGGTAGTGAATTTATACACGTATTATTCATAAAAATAATGAATCAACTGATCATGAGTATAATGTAATTGTAACACAATTATGTTTATAATAATACCAAACGAATTTATGAATAATATATCATATTAATAAGATTAATAAAGAATTTCGTTAATATCTCCAAATTATCTCAAGGGCAGCTGTATAAAACTGTACATGATATGGCATCTATGATACGTGACAAATTTTATTGCAGAAATACGTTAAATCATTTTTATGAAATAACACACAAATATTGTACCAGTAAAGTGATGGTAATTATTAACTTTTAATAATATAGGGTACAATTTTTTTTTTTTCTTATTGACTTGGATATAATATATAGATAAGCAAAGAATATGTAGAATTATATTACATTATGAATTACATTATTTGTGAATAAACACAATACTACATATTTCTCTTCTGACTATGGTTTGTATGTTATATTGCAATCAAATGTTGGTGCAAATTTCGTTTTAAATCATCAACTTCTTAACTCATGAACTAGAAGAACTGGCATTTCTCATCAATGATCGTTACATAATAAACATTTTGACATTATAATATGAATAAAAATAGAAACAAACAGAAACTTTGACAGTGAAAAAGCATTCTTTTAATGTGTATTGTAAAAATTTGATATAAAAATCTTATTACAAAGTACCTGGTAGATACAATCGAATTATTCGATTGGAAGCCACAAGGAATTTATTAATATCGTTGCACAATATGTGTTATTTATCTCTCAATTTGGCTATATTCATTTATAAAATTTAAATGCACACTTTCAATGGTAATTTTGTCATGACTTTAATCAGATGCGAAATAGTTTGCTTGAATTTAATACGAATGTTAAGTGTTTCGTTTTTTTTTATATATTTACGTATAAAAATATTTTTCTTTTTGGGATTACGTGAATAAAAATTCGACGAAAAAATAATTATTAATATCAAAAAAAAAAAAAAGAAAGAACAAAATACAAAAATAATTCATTACACATTGTTTTCTAATATGCTTTTATTTTTTTTTTTTTTTAATTTGCTCGCATTGGGGTAGTAAAATCCTTGCTTATTTTACGAATTATAATCTTTTGATTTTATCAATTATTTTTATCATATAAAATAATAATTCAATCATAGATATGTAAGTACAATAAAATGCTCTGTCTTATATACAATTTCTATTGCGCTTTTAATGCTGTTTTTACACATTTTTTCAAAAAGAGAATAATTACAAATTTCTAATAAGTTAAATATTTGAAGAAGAAGAAGAAGAAGAAGAAGAAGAAAGGAAAAACAAACAAATCTATCGAACAATTGACATACTGAATTAATATACATAATGCAATTATAAAAGCATTTTTCATTTAGTCATATTAAAGAGACTGGTAAATATTACAATGTTCAATATTATATGCTTTGAAATATCGTGAGAGTTTAGAAAAAATGTTTATTCGACTTGTTCTTTAACTCAGGATGAGACATTACATTTAATGTAATTTAAACTTAGTGCTTACTCAGTCTGCATCACAATTAAAATAAATAAATGAAAAGAAAAAAAAATGTAAATGTGTAGTTAACAATATTATATACAAGTAACATATTTGTAAAAAAAAAAAAAAAAAGTATAAGGAATTATAAATAACAGTAATGGAATGATGTTATTGCCTATATATACTTTATCTGCTCTTAAAATGACT